TATCTCTTCAGCTACCTGCTGGAGAAAGTCGTTTATGTACTGCAAGAGCATATGATCAGCTAGAATAGACGTTTACAGACTCCAGGTGCAAAGTACCACTCTTTTCAAGGTGTGCATATACCCAATTAACTGTTAGCCTAAAATTGTGACGCTTTACATACATCTGCCTATTTTGGTGTCCTTGGAAGGAGGCTTATTGCCTGACCAATATCTAGCATATTGGCAGCTACGTTTACGTAAGGGGCTTTTGAGTCAAGCAGCATTTGTACATAGAGTTGATAGAAGGTAGTGTATGACTTCGGCGTAAGTAAGTCTAAATGGCCCATTTTCCAATCTTGATTGCAAGCCGGAAGTAAAATTGGAATTAAAGTAATTAAACGGAATTAAATTTCTGGGCGAGCTGCTGGAATAGATGCACCGGAAAGTGCCGTAGTGGGCTCATAATATTTGGAATAGCTACTAGATTCACTTAGTAATTCCTCCACAATTTATCCTCTCTTTTCTCACATTCTGACGTTGACGAACACAAAGGTCGTGCAAACCAGCTTTCCCTATTCCAATTTCCTTTGCCTGTAGGAGCTGCAAGTGCTTCTGTTACTCCATATGCACATCTTATTTTTCAATTTCAGATCACGCATAGCGCAGTTCTTTTGCAAAGTAACATGAAGTCGTGGTATTTTAAGAGGGTCATGTCAGGTAAAAGCGCACCAGCACGTTGATATCTGCATAAATAGTGGAATAAAAATAAGACACCATTTATAAAGACACCGTCATTTGCATCAAAATGTACTCAAAATTTTTTGACAATTCTCCCATTTTCATAGTGGTTGCGAGGTTGGAATTATTAGAAAAGCATGCTTGGACATGATTCAGCAGGCGCAGAGATGTAAGCAAGCACAGCTTCAAATTTCAACGTTGCATTTTCAGATGTTGTGTACGCAGTCGAAATATTTAAGCCTTGGATTTAAGCATAGGCTTTATTCGTTGACGTAGTCGAAAGATAATATCTCGGATATCGCAGTCACTTGATATTTGCTAAATCAAATGGCAAATTTGGGGTTTTACAAGGTAGTCTATGCATGGAGGAGAGGACTAAGTAGATAAACTTTTGACGAATTCCATGGGACGGGATAATTTAGGCCACAATCATGCGTTCTGCTGACTAGAGATGATGTTAAATGCCTTCAGTATTCATTGTTTGAGGGGAAAATTGGTGTGGGTCTAGGTTAGGTCAGAATCCATCAACAGTTCCCTTTTTATATTTAACTGTTGCACTTTACTAAATACTGAAAAAGGGAATCACTCTACACCGTCAACGACTTCGAACCGAATGGGAGAGTGTAGACTGCAAGTCTTACATAAATCTAATGTATTTTTATTCACATGCAATTCAATTATCATAGTTTCTGAAAAACGAGTCGAATGACATGCATCTGTTTAAACGAATACAGGTTACCAGCTTGTCAAACGACAAGAGTAGCACACCTCACACTGAAGCCAACCAGACAGCACTCATCTTGCCTCCACTACAACCACCACGTCAATGGGTGCGCACACTCTGTGTACGTCAAAGGCAAGTGGTGGGTCACTCATTTAAGGTATTCCTGACTGCGTGTCAAACTAGGATGCGAGGGAATATTCAACAAATAGTGACTGATGTTGCTGTCCATTGAAAGGTGGAGTGTCAAAGGATGCTTGCAAGGCAGTAAAGTGAGGGCATTTTAACCGCTAAGGATGAACTTAAGTCCCATAATTTTTCAGAATTAAATCATGCCTGGATTGTCGATTTACAAGTCATCCTTGTGTGCATGGTATCATTGAAAACTAACTTACTGCTTGTGACGTCGTCATCTAAATGGCATGCCGCAATCAAGAGCCGCCTGCAAAAATTTTCAGGTGCTGCACAAGCGCCTCGAGGACGCTCACTGATTGGGTGACTGCGGAGGTGTACACGGGTATACATTGATTCACTCAAGAAGTTCTGTTTGACGCACCGTGGTACAAAAAGCAACTGAGCTGTAGGATTTGATTCCTTGCTATTCTTTAATGCGAAAATAAAAATTGGAGCAAGGCGCAGAATCCGATTATGCTTTTCCGCAATCGTTGACTAATGGAGGAAGCCAGGTCTACATGAGACTTTACATGTATTTCTACCCAGAAAGTGCTAATTTCTAATACGAAGTGAATAAAATGAGGGGTTACGCTCTAATGGGTGAAGGCGCTGACAAGAGCGATAGTGTAGTTACAGTGTCTGCATCACGGAAAATTAATGGAGGTAACTAATAACACAATGGAAGAAGTCATCTTATTATAACACACTGATAACACTGAAACCTGTTGCACTTGCAGGCTGAATGGCGTTGGTTGACATCTTTAGGTTTGTAGTGCTGGATACTGGCAAGTGGCGAATATTTATGAGCTACCAGTAGAGTGAGTTCAAATGCTCTCTACATTTACTTAAACAAGTAGCAACGGAGCAAATTCAACGCGGTCGGTGGCATTTAAATCATGAGGGAAAGCAAGTTGTTCATGTTGTGTAAATGTAAAAGAAGTTGCTCAAAACGGATGAATTTAACTTTACAGCACTCCTAAACACGGGCTTCTTAAAATTCGCTACACTAATTAATGGGAGAACTTGTTTCATTGTTACAGCCCTCTTTGCAGTTGCACTTGGAGAAGTTATGAAGAATACTCCAAGCAATGGTAGCGGATACAAACAGAAGCATCACTGTAGTTTGGGCTTCGCCAATGACTCCTTCTTTCCGTCGTGTTCCACCTGATGTATCGGCATGATGGGAGATTCTGCAGCCACAAAGCTCTACGATAGCTGGTAAATTAATCCTTCGACTGAAATCTCGCAACCTGCATGACCTTATGTGAATTCGTGCATTACTAGCGAAGGCGCCACCAATAGGCTACTGGGGCATTTCTCACCACTGATTTAGTTTTGTCGGTTTACAGGATAATTGATTGTGCATTTGGGTGCAGATTGTTTTGCGTCATGGAAATGAAGATAAACACAACTGGTGGTAGACTCTGGTTAAAGCACAATGCAGGGAGTGCAGTCTTGCAGCATCTCTCTAGCATGTGACCGAAATCTCGTCAGCGTTATTTTAGTAACGAGATTCGCAGACGCAGGATGTTTATTTACTGTCCCAATTCCACCAGTAAGTGTGTTATTCTAGCATAAAGAATGATGAATCCTTGAGTTTAACAATCAAGAGAACTAATTCGAGAACCTCAAACAAGTTTTAAGCAGGTCAAGCATTAGTCCGAACTAATTATATACATTTTAATTGTGGACCAAGCGAACAACATGCAGATGAGTGCGAGGAAGAGGCCCCTACAAAATACTGCATAATCCGAGCAAGGAACAGAAAACCTATTTCATCAGAAATTAATGAAGGAGAAGATTTAAACCATATGAGAAGGGATCGCATTTCGCCAGACCGACAACGTTGTCATCTAATGCGCACCTAAGCCGAGCTGCTCTGGCGGACATTTCCATTAAAACGAAATATTAATGCCGGATGTTGCTAGGTGGGCGAATTTTCATGCAGTGTTAGTGGCGTGAGGTAGAGGCATCTTACTTTTCAGCTAAACATCTACAACGTAACAAAATCACTCATAGAAAATTGAAGTGATTTGTGGCTTTTAAGTCATGGTATGGATTGAATCAGTCATATTGTGTCAATGTGGATGAGGTAGTCCATGGCAGATAAATTTTCCCCCACAGTGATACAAATCATGCTTAACAAGCAAAATGCAGAAGACGGATGAGACTGGATTTTATTATTTTTAGAAATTACATAGGGAATTTAATAAGGAAAATTGGGAATCATGCTTACACTGACTGTTGCGAATGCCATGAGTCCCATGGGTATGTCGACGAAAATATCCGTGTTAATTATAGTGCTT